TTAATAAAGATAAAAAAAATCTATCAACCCAAAATCTGCATGAACCCTTCAGAAAAATACTGGTCGCAAACAACATCTTGTTATGAGAGAGGCCCTGTGCATCAAACAGCTCTACTTCAGTATCAACCTCTGTTGTAGGGTAATTTTCACAGTGGAGGCTTGTATTTCACTAAGTCGGTCCTAAAATAGGTTCGACGTACAAAACGTTAGGAACTTGAAATAATAGTTAATGACGCAGCAATCAAGTTGGGATGGTTGATACGTCAGTGTCCAACATCGACTGACTCACTCAACTCCACTGAGCCCAACTGGCGACTGCTACTACTACTACTTATGTGTGAGAGAGTCTATTACAATAGAATAGGTAATAACAACCTCCCTTTGTCTAACAATCGGAGTGGCGTGGTGAAAATCTTTTTGAAAATAGAAAGTCACCCATTCGAATTCCAGCCATGTCCAACACACGATGGCCTGGAATCAACACAACTACAAGAATTCACAAATAATACATCTCACACAGTCAAAACATGAAAAGATACAAACAACACTAAAACAACCTACTTGAAAATCGCTAAAGAAGTGGCCCAAAACGCTTGGGACAATGGATGATATATATATATATATATATATATATATATATATATATATATATATATATTGGTTCCAACAATCATTTGAAGATTTTGGAATCATTCTGTATAGGATTAAGGAAACCTTCTCTCTACCTGTAGAAAGAATTTGTGTAGTCCCTTAATCTGTTGGGGATATTTTATTTTTGAACATGAAACATGCATTCTACGTAAGATAATATGCATATTTACTAATATATACTTTATAGCTCTTTATTTCGACATTGAGAATTGTTTTGTTAAGAACAAAAATTAAATAAAATATTTATTTGCAGATTTATATACGGGCACGATGGAAAGCATGGAGCCATGATCGAGAAGTGTGAGTTCAAAAACTGTTAGCATACAATTAAGGGAATCTATCTATATATATATATAAATTATAGAATCTAATTGCACAACTGCAAAACAAAATATATATATATATATATATATATATATATATATATATATATATATATATATATATATATATATATATATATGTATATATATATAATAAAAGGCTTAAACACTAATATTCCATGGTCATAATTTATTCCATTGTTTTTTTTTTCCGGAGTTGTTTTTTTTCTGTTTTCTTTTTGAATTTGTAGGTCTGATGAATTGGATCATATTTACGATTCCAATGGAATAAATTATGACCATGGAATATTAGTGTTTAAGCTTTTTTATTATATCCTTACTCTGTCCTAGACATTGAGTTCTACCTGGATTCTTCCTCTTGGATTTTTTTTTCTAAAAATATACATGTATGGGTATTTATATATTTTGCATATATATGTATATTTTTAATATTATCTAATATCTATCTATCTATATCTATATATATATATATATATATATATATATATATATATATATATGTGTGTGTATATATACATACATATATATATATGTGTGTGTGTGATTGCACGCATGTATATATACACATATACATATATATATATATATATATATATATATATATATATATATATATATATATGTGTTTGCAGTTGTGCAAGTTAGATTCTATAATTTATATATATATATATATATATATATATAGATAGATAGATAGATAGATAGATAGATAGATAGATAGATAGATTCCTAAATTGTATGCTAACAGTTTTTGAACTCACACTTCTCGATCATGGCTCCATGTTTTCCAGCCATCTTAAATGTGTAAAAATTTAAATGCAATGTCAATCGCTATCTACTGTCTGCTTGGTTATTTTATTCTCTCTCTGCTCATTAATGTTTCTATTTTTTAGTTTTTCCACACCCGGTTCTACCTCTTTTTTCTCCCCATTCTTCACCTTCTTTCACGCGCCTTGTGCCTTAGGAGGTTTACTGCCCTGGTTGAATTTATACCGAATTAAAAAAAAAAATGGTTGTTTTATCTCGGTGTTTAATAGATCGGTGCCGTTGGTAATTTATTAGTTGTTTTGGATAGTCGGCCGACCGAACTTCATGATCAAAGAAAAAACGATGAAAATTCTTGGCACGGTCATCGAATAAAAACATTTATAGGAGAAAGTCAGATTTGGAAGTCCTACTCATCTTCCGCAAAAGGTATGATGTGATAGAATAACCAGTAACCCCCATGAATGATTACACTATAGGTAGTAAGTACCTATAAAGTCTACAGTCTGCGAAAGACTTGGAGGAAGAGTGAGAAAGAAAACAGTGCTCTCTCCTGTTCTTCACTGTCGAACTCTACATAAAGCATAAAGGAATAGAGGAAATAATTATTTGGGAAGGGTTTAAAAGTCTAGGGGGAGGTAGACAGACCCTGAATCCGCTTATACGGGTTCTAAGGGAATAATTTTGGCCGATCCTACGGACTCGGAGAACCCGCGGTAAACTCGGCCTTGTGCTACATACATTCCTCGTGGCAGGTCGGGGAGTTATCTGTTAATATTTAACAGATACCTCTCTCTCTCTCTCATCTTCTGAATTTTAAGTTTAGACTATATCTTCCAATATTGTGCAAAGGGAATAAATACTTAACACCAGGTGGATACTAAAAGAAAGGTATATTGTACACAAGCAGTACAATATGAAATACGGTACAGTTATACACACAGGTCAGTCTATTAGTGAGTGCCACTAGTTAGAAGGTCTGACGTGGTTGCGACTTCTCTCTCCCACGTGGGATGTATGTGGCAAAAGGCCGAGTTTACCGTGGGTTCTCCGAGCCCGTAGGATCAGCCAAAAATATTCCCTTAGAACCCGTATAAACGCGTTCAGGGTCTGTCTACATCCCCGGGCGAAACTTTGCCCTTCGGCACAGCCCCGTCCGGGTTCCTCTCTGCTCAAACGCGGAGATTTCGACAGGAGCTGCGAACAGTCACAGCCGGGTAGAACAATCAATTCGGCTGTTAACCTAAACAGAAAACAAGGATAAACATTTACTCCTGTTCAAAAGAACGAGGAGGAGCGTGAACTGTCGTTTGGCGAAATGAAATGGAACTAATGTTTTTAATTTAATTACAAAATTAAATTTAAATTTTTTACCTTCCATTTTTAAAAATGGTTATTAATGTGTACCGGAAAAAACGTATTTTAAATCAGTTAACTTATATATATATATATATATATATATATATATATATATATATATATATATATATATATATATATATATATATATATATATATATGTTCAGGAGGCACGTAATGGATAGCGGCTTGGATTAAGGAATGCGAGAAACCAGTTCGAATTCCAGTCGAATCCATTACATTCACTTACTTACCATTGGGAAAGGTATGAATCTTCTTCCCCCTCCAGCTATGGATAAATAGCAGGACAGTCTGATTTCTATAGCCTTGGATGACTATTAGTCTAGGAGAAGGACCACTCCGTAGTCAAAACCCGCGAAGTGTCGTTGGCGGACCTTGTAGCACGTATGTCTCTATATTCAGACCTTCAAAATTGTGGATGGTTCTGCACAAAACCTTTCCCACTATAATCAAATCACATGCGCTGGTGTCTGAGCTGTCGGTTCCTATGAATGGACCCGCTTGTCTCTTATACGTCGAATTCGAAGGAGGGTCGAATATATATATATATATATATATATATATATATATATATATATATATATATATATGAAGAAATATAGTTTTAAGGTGTGCTATATTTAGGGATAAAAGTGATCAATATCAGAGATAGAGCGTATGTAAATATAAATATAAAAGTGAACATTGAATTCAACATTCAGATCCTCTGAGTATTGTTTGTTATTTGACCTCAATGTAGAATATAAATATATATATATATATATATATATATATATATATATATATATATATATATATATATATATATATGTATATATTTAAAATAGAGCAAAAACAATGAAAGTCGTTTGAATAATATATCAGTCATGTACTTGTATAATCAAAGTCTCTTAATAACCAATATTTAAATAGATGCTATAGTTTACGTTTTTCGATTTTGTACATTATTCTTTCGACGGTGAACTCACTTTTCTGCCTCTTTTGTCTTCTAGCGCCATTTTCCGTTTCATTCTAGCTTTGTTGTCTTTTTTTTTCTTCTTCTTTTTACATTCTACCCCCTTTGCGGCATCCGCGCCATTTTAGTTTCGCTGTCTCTTATGTTCACGTGTTTCGAAATCAATCTCTCTTTAAACCGGTATTTATGATGAAAATCCATATTTTAATTTGATTTATGGCTTTGCTTAAACATCAATCTTATCCCCTTCTTTTTTTTTTTATGACGCCACCCCACTGACTTCACGATCCTCGGGGAGAAACAATTCTCGTTTTGAAAAGAGAGAAACTTTGATACACTAACTTCATTATTCATTGTCCAGCCCCCGCAAATAAAAAAAAAACCTCAAAGGGTTTTTTGGTAATTTAGTTTCAATTGAAAATGTGACTGCAAAACAATCTATTGTTTATTGATTCTTGCAAGAAAGAATAAAAGTTCCAATCAACGGAAGTAAAAAGAATTTATCAAAGCGTTAAATAACGAACAACTTTTTCATTTGGCCAGAATCACTTGAAGTCAGAGGAATGAATACTGATTCTGTCTGTACTGATTACAGTGACATATTAAAGAGGAAAACAGACAACGGTAAGAATAAAATAATAAAAAAAAATACAACAGAAAAACTATTAAAAAGAACGTAAGGTTAATTAAAAAGTAAAAGAGAAAATAATTGAAAAAATGAAAGAAAAAGCTAAAATGAATAATGAAAACGTAATAAAGAGGTCAAAAAGATTTCTTAAAATGGAAAAAATAAAAATAAAAAAATGCAAAAATTTGAAATAAAAAATACAAATAATAATAACGAGAAAAAGCTAAAAGGAATAATGAAAAAAGTAATAAAAAAAAGCTAAAATATTTTTAGAAATGGAAAAAAAAAATTAAAAAAAAAAAAAACACGGAAAAAATCCCAATAAAAAATAAAGAAAAATAACAAGAAAATGCTAATAAATAAAGGGAAAAAGAAAATAAAAATGGGAGAAATTGGCAAAAAGGAAAAAAAAAAAACGAAAAGAAAATGAAAAAAAAGAATGATAAAATGAAAGAAAATAGATAGAAAGAAAAATGAAAAAGTGACGAAAAAGCAAAGAAAACACCGAAAACTGAAAAATTTAAAAAATGAAAGCAAAAAGAATTAAAAGATGAAAAAAATAAAAAATGAAAATCAAATAATTAGAAATAATAAAAAAGAAGAAAGTTAAAAAAGTAAAGGAAAAATAGAAAAGAATAAATACGTGAAAAGTAAAAACGAAAAGAAAAGAAAAACAAAAAATCGAAAAAGAGTGATAAAAAGAAAGAAGAGAAAGAAAACACCATTGAAGGAAGGAAAATAGACAGAGACAACACGAGGAAAAACAAAAGAAAGAAAAAAGCGAAAAGAAGAAAAGGCAAAAGTGAAGGCAAAAATATGAAAATATATATAAATCTGGAAAAAGAAAATGAAAAAAAGACAAAAATAAAAATAGAAATAATATAAAAAAGTTTAAAAAAAAATAAAGGGAAGAAAGAAAACGGAAAGGAAAAATAGAAAAAACGAAACACGAAAGGAAATGAAAAACGAAAATGCAAAAATAAAGAAAAAGAAAAAAAAGAAAAGAAAATGGAAAATAAGAAAAAAATATAAAAAACAGAGCAAGAGAACAGAATAAATAAGAAATAAAAAAGAAAGAAGATAGAAAGAAAAGAGTATGTAAAAAGGAAAGAGACAAAGAGAAAAAGGAGAAAAACAAAAAGAGGAATACCGAAACAGAGAAAGAAGAGAAAAATGAAAAAGAGATAAACAAAATAAAATAGTAAAAAAAGTCAAAAAATATATATATATATAGAGGAAAACAAAGTAGGAAAAAAAATAGAGAAAAACAAACAAGAAAATAAAACGAAAATAAACAAAAAAAGTATCATAAAAAGAAAGAGGATAGAAAGAAAAAATAGAAGGAAAACAGACAGAGAGAAAAAGAAAAGGATGAGGAAAAAGGAAAAAAAAAATCATAAACGAAAAAAGAGCCAAAGAGTGATAAAGCTAGAAGCTGAAAAATGACGAACAAAAAAAAAATGGCAAATAAAAAAAAATAATGAACAATAAGGGAAGACAAAAGAATAAATAAGAAAAAAAAGAAACAAAATAGAAAGAAAAGACAATGTAAAAAGACGAGAGACAAAGAGAAATCAAAACGATGAAGAGGGAAACAAAGAAAGAAATGAAAAATGAAAAAAGAGCAAAAAAGAAAAAAATTGAATAAAACAACTAAAAAAGAAATTTAAAAAAGGAAAAGAAGAAAAAAATAGATAAGAACGAAACCGAAAAGAAAAAAAAAAACGAAAATAAAAAAAACATTGATAAAAAGAAAAAAGATAGAAAAAAAGAATAGAAAGTAAAAAAATAGAAAGGAAAAGAAAAAGACGAATTAAATCGAAAGAAAGAAAGAATCGAAAAAAACGAAAAAAAAAAAAGAATCAAAAAATAGTAAAATTAGCAACAGATACGATAAAGAAAAGTGAAAATAATAAAAAAATATCAACAAAAATTGAAGAGAAAAATAATACATGAGAAATAAATAGAAACAAAAAAGAAAACATTCTTTGGAAAACATGGAAAAATGCCCACAAGAAAAGGAAGTTTTCCCCCAAAAAGAATAATCTTCAATGTGAAATGAAAAGGACGCCGGCGATCATGGCTCTCAACAATGTCTTATAACTGTTGTCTTTATAACAGTTATCCCAAAACCTGCTCCACCATCCATTCACTGAGGCTCGCCCGAATAAAGGATAAAAATTTGATTTCAAAAAGAAAGAAATTTTATACCGAAAGATACCTAAGAAAAATTGTAAATAGAAAGAAAACAGATAATAAGTAGTAGTAGTAGCAGTCGCTAGTAAAAGCTCAGTGGAGTTGTGTGAGTCAGTCGATGTCGGACATTAAAATATGATCCCGAAACAAGGAGATTGCTGCGTCATTAACTATTATTTCAAGTTCCTAACGTTTTGTACGTCGAACCTAATTTAGGACCGACTTAGTGAAATACAAGCCTCCACTGTGAAAACTACTCTACAACACTTACCTTCAATCTGTCCAGTGAGTATCCACTTTTCCAAGCCATCCTTCTTGATCATGTATCCTACAGCCGTTACCTCACTCTTCCTGATGTTAAGTACAGCGTAGTTTGAAAGTCTTGTCAAAATACATAAATATAATTAGCATTTACCGGCTTGAATGTCCGAGAAAAAAAAAAATAGAAGATGTGCGTCTTCCGATAGGAAAATAATCCTATACGGAACCGTCATAACCAGAAGTCTTTTTACCGATTGAGCCTCAGAGAAACGAAGGTTAGCAAAAAGAAATTTTACAAAAAAGTCTGTCTGAATTTCTGAGAAAGGTTTTTCAAAAATTATTTACATTAGAAAGAATTGTTTTCATCTTTGTCGCCATGTTTATAAACGTTTCGGCCGTTGTACGATCCGGCCTTCTTCAGGTGAGTTGGAATTTCGAAAGAAACCCTTTATTTCGCTTTTGAGACGGGGGGAAACTGTAAGAATTCCGTGCCATGTTTGATGGATGCCAATTATTAGTTATCTCCTGAAAATTTTCCCTCTGAAAGTTCTCCCCTTTAACTTTAGTATTGAACTCACAATTTTTGGGTCCTGTCACTGGATCTAACCAACGCCTTTAAAAAAAGAAAAAGAAAGATAGAATATTTGGTAAATGTTGTTTAAACTGTTTATTATAAACAGAGAATTTACTTAAATATTTGTATCTATAAAAAAAGAATGTATAAACATAAAAAAATGTCTTAAAATAATTGTCGGACTTTTGTCCATTTCGTAATGTTAACACACATGACAAAGTATCTTAATTTGAAATCGTTTATGCCATCAACGTCAACAAAAAACGATAGGAACATGGAAAAAACAGTGTTGCACCAAAACAGTTAGAGAGTTTTAAACCATCCCAAAACGTGGAAAGGTGTTTTTGTCCGGTAAATGTTTAATTTACCTTAGTGGACGGGCTATGAAAATTTATTTCTGGGGCAAAGAAAATCTGCACTATTACGACGAAGTGGAACAAAACCCTCCAAAAGTAATGATTCGGGCAGCCATATCGAGTGAGTACTTGATAGGACCCTATTTCTTAGAGGTCTCTGTTAACCAGCACTATTACCTGGCCATGTTAAAGGAGTGGTGTGTTCCACAGCTCAAGAGGTTGAATGTTTGACTTGAATGATTGTTGGTTTCAACAAGATGGTGTTCCATCCCACTATGATACTCATTAACCAACCCACGCGGTCGGATGTGGCACAAGACCGAGTCTTTAATATCACTGTCTGGGATTACGTAAATGAAGTTTTTTTTTTTCCTTGATAGATTGATGGGGCGATATCAGGAGAAATTCCAGAAGCTGTCGATTGGCCTCCCAGAAGTCCAGACCTTACGTCTTGGACAGTGCTCTGTGGAGTATTATCAAAGAGATAGATCCACATGAACGATATCAGAATACCCATCAGTTAAAGGACGCCGTTCAGAAGGCCTTTGCAACAATCAGCAGAAGCACAGCTTCGTAAAATATCACACAGGTCATGGCGCTGCATCATTTTCTTGGCAGAAAATGATGGTGTTCATACAGACTTTCTTCTCGACGTCTGATAGCGTCAATGAAAGTGTATAGACTGAATCCAGTACATGTGTCATGTATTACTGTATTACTTGTTCGATTGTTCATTTTTGGTAGGGGTGACAAGACTTTCGGACCACCCTCTAGATTTACGTCCGAATACCTGGGATGAAAAATTATTCTTATTTACTCTATTTATATTCAGACTATTGTCCTTATATTTGTTATTGTTATCACATAATTTGAGCCGTCGTGCCCCCCGGCCTTCATCAAATATATATATATATATATATATATATATGGGTTAAATAGCAGGACAGACTGGGTTCTATAGCCATGAATGGCAACTGGTCTAGGAAAAAAACAACTCTGAATTGAAAAACCTCAGGGGGGGTTATTTGGGGACGAATGAAATAAAAGTTTAATTTTAGAAAAAAATTCGGCCGTTCAAAAAATTGGATGGTCCTGCACGAAGCCTTCACCACTATAATCGAAACTCATGTGCCGAAAGAGGGGCTGTCAGTTTCCTGGAAACTGATCTGTTTGACCCTCAAACGTCGAACCCGAGGGGAGAATTAAAATTATACATACATATATATATATATATATATATATATATATATATATATATATATATATATATATATATGAAAGTCTTCTCACCAAACATAATACATTTAATATTATGCCTGACATAATATAATTTAATATTGCATATGCCTGACACGAGCTCCTTCACGAAAATGATGGTGAATAGTGAATAAACTGAATCCAGTCCATGTGTTTTATATTACTGTATTAGTTGTTCTGGTCGGGAGTGACAAGACTTTCGGACCACCCTCTAGATTTACGTCCGAATACCTGGGATGAAAAATTATTATTATTTACTCTATTTATATCCAGACGATTGCCCTTATCATTGTTGTTATCACATCATTCCAAAATGTCGTGCCCTCCAGCTTTCATGAGATGTATATCGATCTGGGTAATAGCGTTTCAGTATCCAGTATTAAGTTCGTTTTTTTTATGTAGGGACTTCCTACGGTTGTCACCGCTTGAGAACAGCTCTTGAAATATCGTCTTTGTTCACGCATCTTTGGCGTTATTCTCGTACTTGCTGTGTTATATCGAACTGAACGCATTGTATTGTTCTCCTGCTAATATACAGGACGATCCGAAAGTCTTGTCACTCCTCCATAGTATAATTCTCTATTTCAGATGATAGCTGATTCGAAAATGATGGTGTCTATACAGATCTTCTCGATGTGGGACACCGTCAATGAAAGAGAATAAACTGAATCCAGTACAATTTGCTTTGTATTTTGTTAAAAGAAAAAATTGATCTCATTACTTTTTGGTATAGGGTGACATGACTTTCGGACCACTATCTACTATGGTCAAAAAACGGGGGAATTGTTTAATACTAAAGAACAACGCAAAACTGAACCCTCACTTTTTATCATCTTTTCATTTGATTACCTATGATCAATGTACCGCGTGGTCGGAAAGTCTTGTCACCCCCACATAATATAATTCTGTTTTTCAAATGGCTAACACGAAAATAATGGTGTCCATACAGATCTTTTCGATGTATGACAGCGTCAGAGAATAAACTGAATCCAGTCCGTGTGCTTTGTATTACTGCATTACTTATTTTAGTGTTCGTGTTACTTTTTGGTAGGGGGTGACAAGACTTTCAGACCACACTGTACATTTGTCAGCTTCCTGTTAATTAGAGACGTATCAACAATTCAACATCTTGAATTAAAACAGCAAAAATCTCCTGTCGGTAAGAACTTGTATTCTACAGGGTGGTCTGAAAATCTTTTCAGCACTAGATAAATTCATTTTCTATTTCAACGCTCTATGGGGTTTATTATCAAAGAGAGAGTTTCACATGAACGATATCAGAATGGCCAACAGTTAAAGGCTATCGTTCGAAGAGCCTTTGCAACAATCAACAAAGCACAGCTTCGTAAAATATCACACAGGACATTGCGGCATCATTCTGTGCCACTAAAAAGATGGTGTTCTTACAAAATATTTCGATATGTCACATCGTCAATAAACTGAATTTAGTACATGTTTTTTCTATTGCTGCTTTACTTGTTCTTATTACTTTTTGGTTTGGTAACAGGACTTTTGGACCACACTTAAATCAAAACTTATATCATTGAAATGAATAATAATAATAATAATAATAATAATAATAATAATAATAATAATAATAATAATAATAATAATAATAAAAATCTGCAACTTCTACGGGAAGGAAACTGAAAGAAACTGGTATGAACACCACCCAGATCCGGTTACGGAGATTGGACCTGTTACAATTCTATGGGACTACACAATACACACTGACAGAACAATCAAGGTCAACCGGACAGATATTGTTATTAAAGACCACAAAAAAAAACGATGCCTCCTTATTGATATGGCAGTCCCTGCTGACTGCAATGTATCTTTGAAGATATTCAAAAAGCTGTCAAAATACAAGGACCTTGAAATAGAAATCTCGAAAATGTGGCATATGGGAACATCAACAATCCCTGTTGTAGTTGGAGCCCTAGGACTGGTTGGAAAAGATTGCAGTAGACTAATTGAAGGGATTCCTGGAAGTCCATGCCTCAAGGAGATACAAAAAATTGTTCTGACAAGTACAGCCCACACCTTACGAAGGGCTTTATCTATGTAATTTAATTTTTTTTTTTTTCTGTCAGTGGAAAGTGTCATGACGCCATTTCTAAACTTAGGTCCCTGGGCGGGACCCGGAAAGAAATGTGTAAACGCCAGAAATCAAAGAAAATAAAAATAATAATAATAATAATTATCTACAGGGTGGTCCGAACTTCTTGCCACCCCTACATAATATAATTTTCTATTTCAGAAGTCCAGACATCATGTCTTGCGATAACGCTCTGTAAGGAGAGAGTTTCACATATACGATACTAGAATAGTCATTAGTTAAAGGATATCGTTCGGAGAACCTTTGCACCAATCAACAAACCACAGCTTCATAAAATATCACACAGGACACGAAAAAGATGGTGTTCTTACAGACGAAAAAGATGGTGTTCTTACAGACGAAAAAGATGGTGTTCATACAGAACTTTTCGATATGTGACATCGTCAATGAAAGTGAATAAACTGAATCTAGCATATGTGTTTTGTATTGCTGCATTACTAGTTGTTCTTATTACTTTTTGGTTTGGGGTAACAAGACTTTCGGATCACCCTGTACACTAAAATCAAAACTTGAACTAAAGATATAATTATTCATTGAAATGAAAAATAACAGGATTTAAGAAGAAAGAAAATGGCGATTGACGTTCGCAGGTGATAGGGAAAGCAAGAATGTTCGAACGGCAAGGAAAGAAACTATCCGAATAAAATTTTCGGACCACCCGGTCTGAGTGTTCTCTTTGTTGCCATTTTGTATAAAACTTTGTCATTGCTCACATGTTCGGTCCATGGTATTCTCAGCATCCTTCTGTAGAACCCCATTTCTGTTGCTTCAAGTCACTTTTTCTCTGTTCGGGATTATCTATCATTCACTGCCATATAGAAGGAATGGTACTATATAACATTTCAGTACCCTTTTCTTGGTTTATAACAATGTTTTTTTTCTGTTTCTTAATACTTTGCTTAGCTTTTGGAAGGCATCTTTCACTATCCCAAACGCACCTTCTGATATCAGTGTCGCACTTTCCGTCCACTGTTAATAAGCTACACATATATCTAAATTGTTTCAGCTGTTTGATTTCGAAATACTTTAACTGATTCTCATAGCAAAAATATATAAGCTTACGATAATTCTACTTGTTCCGCCATTATGTAGCGCGCACTTAGCGCGAAAGTATGTCTTATTACATCAATATACAACAAATCACCAATTCATAACTCATTTGTATATATCTAAATTTTATAAAATTACTGTATTGTTGTGTATTTTACTTATCTTTGTTTTTAACTCTGCTTTGCATAACCTGTTCTAAATATTCGTTTATTATTTGTTGTGGATGAATGTTAACGAACACGCCACCTAAAAATTCCTTCTGATTTAACCAAATACGTTCACTAATCCCCAACAAACCTATATGGAGACAGCAACTGGAAGAAGTCATGGCAATTCACAAGAACCTATAGAGAACACTATTCGCCACTATTCTGAAAAAAAAGGCCAATCATTAAAAATCAAATCCTCGCATATTGCTGGCTAATAATTATTCGCCCGCACGTTGATTCGACCCGCAATTCGCTGGGATGTTTTTCAGTAGCTTTTTTTTTTTCGTTAAGGTAAAAGTACGACATTGTCACGACATCACATGTGCTTAACCCTAGAACACTAACCATGGGTATATAGTACCCGGCGCAAATTTTCATATTTTTAATTACAATTTTCAGTACCTGATTTTCTTACCTATTAATGTAAACGCAAAGTACAACGTTTGGATTGCCTGCATGTAAAATATTTCAAATAAAGATTTATGTTTAATACTAGCAGCATGGCCCGGCGTTGCCCGTGTTTGATTAAAAACTCGTACGACTCATACAGCAATCGTTATCACTTGACTTAAAATATTTTTGCCCTCCCTTGCCTTTAAAGGAGTGCCCTTTGCCGAGCTGATGTTGCTGCATGCCTTACTTCTTGCCTATCTCAAAATTCTAGTTAACATTTTTATCAGTCAGCTGTTGGCTCTCACGCGGGCCAATAGACTCTTCCTGCCTATTCGTGGCAGCCAGCTATAGGCTCTCACTCTGGCCAGTAGAAAATGGCCGCAAACTACATGAAAACTGCCGTAGAAGCATGAAAAATCGATTATTTCCACTATCGATGGGAGTTGTTAAATGCAGCGTCGGTCTTGGCTTTCCCGCTAACTTGGAGCATGTGCATGTCAATTTTGGTGCAAATCCGTCGGAAATTGCGGCAGTGCATTCGTTACACACACTCACACACATCTTGCCTTTTATAGATAGAGATTTTTTTTTTGATATTTTCAAAATCGGGTATGATATACCCATGGTTAGTTGTGGTGTAATTTTAATTGATGGTTAGTGTTCTAGGATTAAGCATTTGTTTTATTTTATTTAAGGCCAAGCCAAGCATTAAGATGCAATGGGTTACTCAGTGTTACAGAATATGAGTGTTATATAGAAATAAAGTGCTTTTGCCGACAATTCTGTTTGAACATAGATCGCCAGAGAACAAACACAGGCGATCCCATTATTGAATTAAGTGAATCACGTGGCATATATAGTAAGTTGCGTGACGTCTAAAGGATCATTTTTTTCGACTATCCTCTATTACGATACCGATCGTCATTTCTACTCTATCCTCTATTACTATACGGATCACCATTTCTAGTCTATCCTCTATTACTATACGGACCGCTATTCTCTACTCTATTCACTATAGAATTTCTCTATTCGGATCACTATACGGGTTACTTGTGGAGTGAGTATTATCGAGCAAGTACAATTAGTGCGAGTGTTATTCGAAGGCGTCTGAAACCAGCGCTGTTCAACGGCGTTACTATAGTTGTATTTGCGATTATAAAATATCTACTACAACGAGTATTACGAAAGTTACAACGAGTATTCGTTGGCATCACAAAAGTGTCAAACGATTGTTCGCTGACATCACAAAAAAGAGAAAAGAAAACTCTTTTCAGAGAGAACAATATAAGTGTAAGAATTTATAAGACCGAAGATAAAAAAAATAACATTGCATTTAAATTTCTAAAGATCAAAGTTAACTGGAAAGCAAGAAGCCGGAAGAGAGTTACACAAGAGAGACGTGCGATAGAAAAAACTGTTAACATAGAACTTACGGTTACATCTAACCATTTCAACTCTAAAATGATGAGACCTAACTTCCAATCATGTACTGGTCTTAAACTCTGAAAGTCTTGGTACCAGAGAAGGAAGTTTACCAGAAAAATTACCATGGAGGTATTTATAGAAAAGGCACAGGGAGTCTAAGTTATAGAAGCGGGAAAGTGACTTTAGCCGAGATGCCAGGCCAAATAAAATTATAGGGAACGTTGTCACTGAAACATTTTGGAAGGAGAAACTCCTACTTCTCTGAATAACATTTGGCTTAAAAGGTCGATTTCGCGAATACTGCCGCTGATTTTTA